TCTTTCATTATTCATTTTCTTGTTTTCTAATGTTATTGTATTTTTAAATCTATTTTATTGTATCTCGTTGTCACATTTTCACTTGATTTGTCCTTTTGTCTTTAGCTCATCTGAACTCTTTGAACTGCACTCACCTGTATGAAAAGTGCACTACAAATAAAGTTTGATTGATTGATTGATTTACCACGACCTCACCAAAAACAGTCTCATCATCTCATCCTCCATCCATCCGTCATTCATCCTGCTGTTTGAACAGTTCACAACCGTCAGAGAGAGAGAGAGAGAGATGGAAAGTGAAGCTCTCTCGACCGTCACTGACAGATAACAAAGAGAAAGTGAGTGAGGATCATTGTGCGCAGGATCCTGAGCGCTGAGTGACACGTGAGTTACAGTAGAGTCTAATATTAACAGTGTGATGCCACACACTGTGGTCCTGTCAGCACCCAGACACCAGCAGTCCCTCTCTAACCTGACACACTTTCATCACGTCAGACTCCATCACACCAGCAGCTGAAGATCTGCTGCCACACAAACACACTCCAGTAAAACTGTCAGAGCGCTGGATTTATTCAAATGTGAATCTATTGCTGTTATTACCTCTTATCTTAAATTCTGTTGTAATGCTTTATTTTACAGGTTCATTTCCTGATGATTTTTTAAAAGGTAAAAGTCTTGTTGAGTTTAAAATGTCTTTTTCAACAGAGAATTCAACATGGTCACAGCGACACATGCAGCACAAACTAGATACACAGGCGATAAAACAACTGTCACACTTTAAGAAACATAAATATTCATTTAAGACGCATGTATCATAAAATCACTTATTTAGAGGGAAAGCATCAGTTAAAAGCCAATAAGAAAATCTGCTTCATTCAGGAACCAAAAGTTGAATTTTCACTAAACACAGACAGTAAAGTGACAAATCATAAAAAATAATGAAATTCTGCTAAAAGGCTGTAAAATGGGGGAAAAGAAATGCAGCGTGCTCAGGTGTGCAGGTTTAAGGAGTTGTAGTTGAAGTTAAGAGGTGCAGTAAAAGGCCGGTGGCTCCACCTAGTGGCCAAAGTCTTCCACTGGTTACGTAACAGACACAAACAGTCCAGAGGTCGTGTCTGTCCAAAGGTCACGTCTCCTCTCTGTCTGTAGTGTTGCATGTTTATTATAACGCAACAGTCCCAGAGGGAGGGGGGCGGGGGAGCGGGCGGGGGGGGGGGGGTTCTCAACAACACACTGAGGTGAGTTCAGGCTGAAGTCCTGTACATGTGTAACAAGTTTAAAGTACTTGTACTGTACACTAGTATTTCCATTTTCTGCTACTGTGTATTTCTGCTACATTTAATTCAATAACTTCAGATACTTTGTGGATTCCAGACTAAAAATCAACACGTGAATTAAAAACGTTATTATAAGTTAAAATAAGACCTACAGTATTATCTATATAGATAGATAGATAGATAGGTAAGATAGTAGATAGATAGAAGAGAGAGAGAGAGAGACAGAGACAGAGAGAGAGAGACAGAGGAGAGAGAGAGAGAGAGAGACAGAGACAGAGAGAACAGAGAGAGACAGAGAGAGAGAGAGAGAGAGAGACACAGAGACAGAGAGACAGAGAGAGACAGAGACAGAGAGAGACAGAGAAGAGAGAGTAGAGACAGAGAGAGACAGAGAGAGAGAGAGAGAGTCGAGACAGAGACAGAGAGAGAGAGACGAGAGAGACAGAGATAGAGAGAGAGAGAGATAGAGACAAGAGATAGAAGGAGAGGGACAGAGAGAGACAGAGAGAGAGAGAGAAAACAGAGAGAGAAGAGAGAGACAGAGAAGAGAGAGCGGACAGAGGAGAGACAGAGACAGAGACAGAGAGAGAGAGAGAGACAGAGAGAGAGAGACGACAGAGAGAGAGTAGGGGACAGAGAGACAGACACGAGAGAGAAGAGAGAGGAGCAGAGAGAGAGAGGCAGAGAACAGAGAGAGACAGAGCCAGAGACAAGAAGAGCAAGCATGGAGCCAGAGAGAGAGCGTAGAGACCGGAGCCAGGCGAAGACGCACAGAGAGAGAGAGATTTGATATCAAAGACGAGAGGACAGAGAGAGAGCAAGACAGAGAGAGACAGAAGATCAGACAGCACGCACGAAAGAGAGTCAGAGACGAATAGATGGAGCATAATAGGTCTGTTGACGAACAGTAGTCAGATGAGCATATGTCTGACTTGCCTCATTGGTAATTACGGCAATGGCAGGGAGCACCAGGTTGAGTTCGAATTAATGAGCGCAGAGGCTCAGTTTGAGAAGAAGACGATAGATGACAAGATTTGATCTAGATAATAATAGCATGAAATTCCAGTGTGATATTATGCTCTTATTTGTGTGTAGGTAGCATTTCTGATGGAATCAGACTTATAGCCGGATGTTCGAATATGAACTAGATTTGATCTGATAGAGCTGGATCTCAACAAATGTCATTTGCTCATTAGCCCGATTTCACTTAGTACTTGTGTGGTGCTACGGGCTGTCTCATGTCAGCCCATGTGAATTTAGGGGCCTGTATTGATTGATAAGAGGGTGGGATATTGGAAGTTAATTATAGGCTCCGTGATTCTGGTCAGAGTGGAGAGATCGATGACAGAGCCGAGCTGCGGTCACAACTCCCTACATCGCAGTCCAGCTGTGTCCAGACTGTGTCCAACTCACTGGTTTTGTTCACACTTCACTTTTCTAATCTCATTTCTCCATGAAACCTGATTTTTGTAATTTATAATTTAATGATTAAACTGGGCATCCAAGTTTCCCGCACGTGAACATAAGGGTGCCAGTTGAATTGTTCATTTAATAGAAAAACGGATTAAAACTGATTAAAATTTTATCTTATTCTTAACAAAACAGCTGATGGAAAATGTTTTACCTATAAGCATATATATTCTTTTAGGTTTCATTTCAATTCCACAATATGGCCAAAAAGTATGTGGAGCACTCCTGTTAATTATTAATTTGTGTGATTTCCATGCTTTGGTCTGTTTGTCTTAGCGAGTTTCCAAATGAAAGGGAAATCTTTAAATAAGATTGTTTATAACACACTAGCACTTACATGCTAACATTATCATAAGCAAGTTATCCGTAAATTGTTGATGCAGCGTATGTAATGTTAAGTCTATTTATCTATTATTTAAGTATTATAAACTGTCTATCAGATTTTAGAAGCTAATTGCTAATAGACATCTCGCCTTACAAGATTGTCAGCTGTAGTGCTAGTGGTGCTTATAAACTGTTCATAAACATTTTACATATTGCTTATAAATGCTTAAGTCTTATGAAGGGGAGTTGAAATATGGAGAGCTATATAACTGATATATTCTACACTTCATCAAAGAAGTTGACCTCTGACTCTGAATACAACGTGGCTGAATTTAGTTCAAGA